GATTAAAAAAAAGCAAGCAGAAAACTGGGAGATGTTATTTCACTCACTGCCAAAATTAGTTGTGATTCAGTGTGTTTACTTGCATAATCCAGTGCTGAGCACTTATTAACTGGATTTTGCAGACTGGGAGTTCATGATGGTCTACATATTTTATCATACTGAATATAAGTTTAAATGAAATTATAAGATTTGTTATTTGATTTAGTTTTCAGGCCATGTTTGAACCTGCAAGTAGTTTGCAGTTTAAATTATCACTTAATTTGCTGCATAAATAAAATTGGGCAGCACCTATTAGGAAAGAATCCTCCGAGACACTGCATGGGACTGAGTGTCAGCCTTTTGTCTCCTATAATTTGTGACTGTTGCTTACTTCAACACTTGAAAAACTATGCCTCTGTGCAAAGAGCCCCTTCGGTGTTGCTAGGAAACCCAATAACTGTTTTGTATAATCTTGAGATTTTAATTCATTTCTAGTGCAACACTTTGAAGAGTAGTTGAATGTTTTAAACATTTTTTTAAAAAAAGAAATGTTGAAAGCCATTTAAAATTCCGTTTATTTATTATTATTATTATTTTTTTTTTTTAGCAGCGCACACATTAAGAAAATATCAGTATAAAGCAGAAATGGGCAGTCACCTTTCTTAAAATCTCAGTTCTCAAAAACTAACTGCTCTCAACAGTTTGGGATATAACTTTGCAGATCATTTTTATACATATGTAACTGTTTCTAAGGTAGTGTTTTAAGATAAAAGTAATTTTTATGTGTCAAGAAAGAATGAAAGATACTATCATGAAAATTGAATTGCATTTTATTCTAATGACTGTGCAGTAGAAGTACAGAGAGCCTGGTTAGGAGTAATTGAATATGTACACATTTAGATACTTGGTGTCATTTAACTTTTTTTATTTTATAAAATAAAAACCCAAAAAGCACAGAGGAACCAGAAAGTTCTAAAAATTTTTTTAATTAAATTTCATTTTCTTGTATATTCTGGCTTGATATTTTTGAGCTATGTCTTCATTCATTTTGGAATGGAATTTTCATTCTGGGGTGTACTCAGATTATTCTTACCTTAATACATAAAATATCAATACCCAGACAAATTAAATGGAAGTAACAACTTGTAGTAGCCATGGAAAGGAGGTCTTCAAGTAGCAGGAACAACTTCTGGTAGATTGATACTCTTTTTCAACCTTTATAAAACTGATCAAATTTATAATCTAGTCACCAGTTCTTTTCTACTAATGTGCAAGGAACTACAACAGGAGATAGAGGTAGCCACAAAAATTTTCAAGCCCCTTTGGAGCTAATGATTTAAATCAGGACATGGAATTTTAAAATTTACTTAAAAATACAAGGTATGGGAAGAAGATAAGCTCATCCACATCTAGAACACATGACAACACCTTGGAGGCTACCTAAGTTAACTTCACAATAAAGCTTATAAAGTAAAACAAACCCAAGATAGTATATACGAAATAAATGCCAAATGGGTGATCGGGTAGCAGAAAGTAAAGTACTGTGAATATTTGTAGGAAAACAGAAACAAAAATCACTGTAGGCTAGAGAGGTAGGAGAATGCCTAAGTGAATGAGGTAGGAATTGGAACTGAGTTTATCAGAAATGATAGAAAGTATTTATTCAGAGGATTAAATATTAATTCAGGAGAAACACTTGAGATTATACACATAAATACCAAATTATAATTTTAAATAGAATTGTGGACATAAAATGGAGATTGGAATAGTAATGGACCTTTTTTTAGGATATTAAATAGTCCATTTGGGCTGAATCAGTGGGTTTGGATGGTCTGTCGTCAGTCTTTGCTGTGTAACAAACCAACCCAAACTCTAGAGGCTTAAAGCAAAAAATTATGTGTTGCTTTGTGATCCTTTGGGTCCCAGTTTAGGCCAGGCTGAGATGAGAAGTTTAGGCCAGGCTGAGATGAGAAGTTCTGGTAGCTCATGGGGCTGTAGGCATCTGGTCTAGAACTGGGGCTGGAGATTCTAGGGTAGCTGTTGAACACCTCCCTCCTGTTTGGTTTGGTCACTCTGTGGCAGGGGTCTGGAGAGGGCGAGGGTGGGAGCAGCTCGGTCACTTGAGGTCTCACCTCGGAACTCAGACAGCAGCACTCAGACTATATTCTCTTGGTCAGAGTTAGCCAGCCTCTGATTTAAGGGAGCAGTCTTGTGTCCAGTTTCGATCTGCTATTTGAGAAGTGCACTTAAATGTGATTAAAAGCTCATAATGGTGCTTGAATTATAAATGGTTTGAATGTAACTTCTTTCATTCTCAATCTATTGGCTTCAACTTTATTAACATTTCATTACAAGTGACAATATGTATTACGCTTTCTTGGGGATAATGAAAGGATCTTGGGATGGCTAATCATTTAATTCTTCATTTTGGTTTGGTCTGTTGGGATTTATTATTTGAAAAACAACCTCAAAATCATCATTATGGAGAATTAGGACTTGATTTACTTACTCTTAATTTTTCTGTAAGATGTTAGTATTTTGGTGGCAGCAGGGGAAGGAAAGGGGAGAGAGGCAAGTCCTCAGTACCATAGTCTCAGTGCTTAGGGCCTCTTCCAGGTCATCCTCTGGCTCTGCAAGGCAGTGTTGGGTGATGGGGAGGACCAAGTAAATGACCATTTGAGACTAAGGTTCTGCATACAGAAAATGTTGGATTATCTCAAGGAAAACGGATGTGGCAAACTAGTGCTATGCAAACCTTCTAGTGTAAATAGTTTAAAAAAAAAGTTTTGTGTGGTAGTTTATTTACATACTAAATTTACATTTTATATCAAATTGTTGACTTTTTCAAACTTTGATCTTATAAGATATACATAGTAAACCTATTTTTATATGTGAATTGATATGAACAGAATTGCTTTTCTCTTGAAAAACAAAATGTGAAAGGATTATAAACTAAGTATTTTTTCTCTGATATATCCAGAAACTACCATTATGCTTGTACCCTACTTTTACCTTTTTTTGCATGTAAATGATACTAGTTTTGTTAAAGTAAACCATTAGCGGCAGAGAGGAGGCTTATTGTTCAGTTCTTATAAAGATACAGTGGATTTAAACCATCTTTAATAGACTCAATCAGAAGAGTCTTGGAATTTTTGGGCCTCAGGACATCTTATTTTGGTTTTTATATACTTTTCAAATATTACCATGATTCAGCATTTATTCTCTGTGATCTAAGTAGAAATTTTATAGAATACAGATTCCAGAATAAGTAACAGAATTTTAAGATGTCTTTTTAATAATAATATGATGGACTTTTTCAGAAGAGAGATTGGAAGGGATGAACAGTAAGAAAAGTCTTAAAGATAATAATTAAAGTCAACTATTTGATAAATTCAAAAATACCTAAATTGATGGCATTTCTTCTCTTTGAGTTGTCATCAGATTTATTGCTTAGATCTATTGTTTAACCAACTGGGTAGCTCAGTTGGTTAAGCGTTTGACTCTTAAAAAAAAAAAAAAAAAAAGGCATCTGACTTTTGATTTCATCTCAGGTCATGATCTCAGGGTTCTGAGATTGAGAAGATAAGTCCCAGGTCAGGCACTGGGCCTGAAGCCTGAGTCTGTCTCTCCCTCTTCCCCTCCCCATCGCTCAGTACTCTCTCAAAAAAAAAAAAAAAAAAAAAAAAAAGTATTTTTAAGCATTCAGTAAAAATTATAGAATCTAATAAAGATTTATTTAACGTAAGCTCTTTGCTCAGTGTAGGACTTGAACTCATGACTCTGAGATGAAGAGCCCATGCTCTATTGACTGAGCCAGCTGGGCCCCTCTAATTTAATAAAAATTTAGAATTAAAGAAACCTTGGTAGAAAACCCATCTAGATTCCAGATGAATGGATAAAGATGGTGTGGTGTACACAAACACACACACACACACACACACACATACATACATACATACATATATCTATACAGTTTGCAACGACATGGATGGAACTAGAGGGTATTATGCTAAACGAAATTAGTCAATCAGAGATAGACAGTTATCATATGATCTCACTGATCTGTGCAATTTGAGAAATAAGGCAGAGGATCATAAGGGAAAGAGAGGGAAAAATGAAACAAGATGAAACCAGAGAGGGAGACATTCTTTTTTTTTTTTTTTTTTCCCCAAAAGATTTTATTTATTTATTTATTTGACAGAGAGAGAGAGAGAGAGAGAGAGAGAGAGAGAGAGAGAGCACAAGCAGGTAGAGAGGCAGGCAGAGGCAGAGAGAGAAGCAGGCTCCCCACTGAGCAAGGAGCCCGATGTGGGGCTCGATCCCAGGACTCTGAGATCATGACCTGAGCCGAAGGCAGCGGCTTAACCCACTGAGCCACCCAGGCGCCCATGAGAGGGAGACATTCTTAATCTCAGGAAACAAATTGAGGGTTTCTGCAGTGGAGGGGTGTGGGATGGGTGGGTGGGTGGGTGATGGACATTGGGGAGGGTATGTGTTGTGATGAGCACGGTGAATTGTGTAAAACAGATGAATCACCCACCTGCACCCCTGAAACAAATAATACATTATATGTTAATAATAAAAAAAAGAAAGACAGCCTGTCAAAATCCATCAGCATGTGCCCCAGCAGAAAGAGTTACCAGTGTGTCTGGCACTATGACAAGTAGGAATTAATGTAGCCCCGAGTTAGTACAATATAACTGACCTTTTAGAGACTCTAGCTAAGTTCAGTTTTAAACATCTGCTTGGATATAGGATACCCTCTACTAATAGAAACTTGTATCTCATATGATGTTGGGAGATTCACAATGCTCTTAAAGGAAATTGTATCAAATAAGATGATACTAATATTGGCATTCCATTTCTACAAAGGCACAAACTGAAAACTGGGGACCACTGAGCTTGAACCTCATCACTCTGGACACAAATCACATCCTGTTCTATTGAACAGCTGGGGTGCGGTGAGTGTGCTGCCAGCCTAACAGCGGATGCTTAGTCCCTATGCGTGTTTCTTTCTCCAGATTTCACCAGCAGTTTGAGTATCACCACTCCTGATCAGATGATTGAAAAGGCCAAAGGAGAAACTGCTTATTTGCCGTGCAAATTTACCCTTAGTCCAGAAGACCAGGGACCACTGGACATCGAGTGGCTGCTATCACCAGCTGATAATCAGAAGGTGGATCAAGTGGTAAGTTCGCTAAATGTTTGCTCACTTAGTAGATGTCCATTGAACTTCTTAGGTGTCCGTCACTGTAGACTATGTAGAAAGCCCCAGGCTTCTCTGGCTTGTGGTCTGGGTGAGGAAGGCAATCACTGTGATGGAAAGTGAGGACATGCGTGTAATGGATGAAATGGTTAAGTGGCCTAAGATTTTTTTTTTTTTTAAGATTTTATTTATTTATTTGACAGACATCACAAGTAGGCAGAGAGGCAGGCAGAGAGAGAGGAAGGGAAGCAGTCTCCCCACTGAGCAGAGAGCCCGATGTGGGGCTTGATCCCGGGACCCTGGGATCATGACCTGAACCGAAGGCAGAGGCTTTAACCCACTGAGCCACCCAGGCGCCCCTGGCCTAAGATTTCTTACTGAGGGCTTTAAGGAAGAAGAGGAGCTTAGGAATGTTCTGAAAATCTGGAGTTGGATATGTGAGTCAGGGAGTGGTAGGAGGAGGGTATGTGGAGAAGGCTTGATAGATAGCATGGTAGGAATATGCATAATGTGTTAGGGGACAGCAAGTAAACGAGACTTTGTGAAGAATTAGAATTCAACTTTGTGTTTTTTGTTTTACTTTTTAATTTTTTTTTTATTATTATTCATTTATTTGACACAGAGAGAGAGAGAGAGAGAGAGAGAGAGAGATCACAAGTAGGCAGAGAGGCAGGCAGAGAGAGGGGGAAGCAGGCTCACTACTGAGCAGATAGCCCCATGCGGGGCTCGATCCCAGGACCCTGAGATCATGACCTGAGCCGAAGGCAGCGGCTTAACCCACTGAGCCACCCAGGCGCCCCACTTTTAATTTTTTTTTAAAGAATTCATTTTTTTTTTTTTAAAGATTTTATTTATTTATTTGACAGAGATCACAAGTAGACAGAGAGGCAGGCAGAGAGAGAGAGGGAAGCAGGCTCCCTGCTGAGCAGAGAGCCCGACGCGGGACTCGATCCCAGGACCCTGAGATCATGACCTGAGCCGAAGGCCCTGGCTTAACCCACTGAGCCACCCAAGCGCCCAAGAATTCATTTTTTAACACAAGGATTCTCTTACCAGTATAAGAGTCATCGAGTGTAACAGTGTAATGCAAATACATATTTACAGCAGTCTGTTTTCCATATTCTTCAAGTTAAATATCCTGAATAATTTCTTAAAAAGCAAAACAAAATCTTCATAGCAAAACAATTTATAAAGTATTTAATCTAAAAAACGAAATTGCAAAATACTGTTACAGAAATTTTCCTAATTATGAAGTATTAAGTTTTATTAAGTATTATTTTAATTTAGTTTAATTTAGTTAAACTAATAGTTGACTAGCAGGGGCCTGGGCTGGAGAAGTTAGCCGTCCTTGCTCCCTGTGTGATCTCTTTAGTCAGCAAACAGTGACCATGTGCTATGCATTTAACGTATGCTGGGAAGTGTTTTATAGATTTTAATTATATATTGTTCTTTAAGCCTTAAAACACCCTAAAATGAGAATTTTTATGCATGTGAAGAAGAGGAAATGGAGGCCCAGGGTCACACAGCTGGCAACAGATGCAGATGGGGTTTGAGCTGAGGTCTCTCGTCTCCTACTGCACTTTATGATCCCTGGCTCCATCCCATGCTGCCTCCTGTGTTTCGTACGCCTCTGTCTTCCTGTAGAACAGGAAAAAGACACCTACCTCTCATGGTTGTGATGAGAATGCATAAGGATTTTATAAGCTTAAAAGTCCTGTAAAAATTAATTCAGTGCCAAGTCCATAAACATACCAAGTCAAATAGATGTGGTTTGCATCTTAGCTGTGGGACTTTGCAAAAGTTGGTGTGTGAGAGCCACTGCTGCTCTCAGCTTCAGGGTTAAATGTGGATGGCGCCACACCATCCTTGCAGTGTTGTGAAGAGGAATCAGAATTGCCTGGTGGATGTTAGTTCTCTGTCGCATGACCGCATTTGTGGTACTGTTTTCATGGGAAAATACTAAGAGAGTTTACAAAATAACTAACAGTGAGGACGCATCTTGTCAGACTCATTAAAAAGCTGCTAAAGTGTGTTTATAGCACAATGAGGGATTGAGTATAGTAGACTGAACAAGGGAGTCACTAGTTCAGTGCGGAGGAGGATAGGACAGCCTCGTTTGAGTCAGCTCTGGACCTTTCAAATGCTGCTTTTATTTACTTAGCAAACTGGTATTGAGTGCAGACATTTAATATATAAATTTTAAAATCTAGTGGACAAAGGGTGGGATTAGCATCACAAGGGGTGATGATACCGAAAAGAACCCAAGTCCCTGCCATCAAGAAATTCCTGCAGAGGACACTGATATTCCGGTTATACTGCCCATAATTAACATCTTAGATAAAAATTACTTGCAGGATATAGACTAGTCGTGTTCTCTGATTATTACTTTAGTTTGGTGCCGCTGCTCTTTGACCCTTAGGTCAAAGACGACCAGATGACCAGAATGAAGGATTTCGTTAGCAAGTGTGAAAAAATTATCAAGTATGTTAATTTGGGTGATAGAGATGACTATTGTAATTCTCCTCCTAGCCAAGTTTAACACAGAATTTTATTTTCCCTCTAAATCTAGCCTTTAGTTATTTCCATTAAAGCTTATAACAGTGGCCCAGAAAACTCAGTGGAATTAAAAAGGGGTCTTTGCTTTTTGTCTCAGAATACTAGTTGAAAGGTCCTGTTACCCTGGGCACATATATCCTAAGAGGTTTAAAACTTTGTCTTTTAGTATCTAGAACCCTCAAGTGCCTCTGACTTTGTATTAAGATAAAAAAAAATGTTGTCTTTTTTGTTGTTGTTAGAGTCCACCCGTAAATTATCACAAGCATTTTTTGGGGAATAAGGGTGGTGGTATTTACCTGATTTTATACCTTTGATTGACATACTGTAAGCTCTGAGACTGCTGAAAAGCAGCGTGCATAGGAATTCACACATCTGTGTTCTTGTCCGGTCTAACTAAATTACTCTCTTATGTACGGCTGTATTACTTACGTTGGGTCTTGGCTTTCCTATTTATTTATTAAATTTTTCTTGTGAATTTGTTTTTATTGGAATATAAGGGATGGGTTGGGAAGTGTCACGGGGGTTAGGCCTTACCGGGTAAATGTCCACTCTGATCTGCTTGGGAGAACTTTTGGAGCTTTTTCTTTTTGGAGCTGCTGCTTTTGCTGCCGGCAGCCTCTTCCGGTCCACTGGTGAGTGGCTCCTGGTTTTCCATTTGAAATGAAAGTGTGTGACCATACTCAAGGATTCCACTGATCTCTGTTTTCTTTCTTTTTCTTTCTCCTTCTTTCTTCCTTTCCTCCTTTCTTTCTTTCTTTCTTTTTTTTCTTTCTTTTCTGAGATTTTATTTATTACTATTTTTAAAATTACTTTCTTGAGAGAGAGAGTGCAAGTGGGTTGAGGGACAGGGGGAGGAGAGAGAGAATCTCAAGCAGACTTCATGCTCAGTGTAGAGCCTGATGTGAGGCTCAGTCTCAGGACTCTAAGATCGTGACGAGTAAAATCAAGAGTCAGATGCTTAAGTGACTGAGCCACCCAGGGCTCCAAGATTTGATTTGATTTGATTTTTTTTAAAGATTTATTTATTAAAAACACATTATTTGAGAGAGACAGTGAGAGCACAATCCAGGGTGGGGGGACACACAAGTGCAGTCTCCACACAAGCAGAAATGGGGGGACAGAGGGAGAGGGAAAAGGAGGCTTCCTGCTGAGCAGAGAGCCTGACACAGTGCTTGATCCCAGGACTTTGGGATCATGACCTCAGTTGAAGGCAGACGCTTAACTGACTGAGCCCCTCTAGTGCACACCCTCCCCATGATTTCATCTTTAAGTAATCTTTACACCCATAATGGGATTCAAACTTAGAACCCTGAGATCAAGAATCGTATGTTCTACTGACTGAGCCAGTCAGGCACCTTGTGATGTCTTGTTTTCTTAATACATGATTTGAATAATTGTAGTTTTCCTGATGATACTGTGTTTTTATTCTTTTTTGGATCCTACAGAAAGTACCATGGTGTATCCACAGCTCCTTTAATGAGACACAGGGCTTGCTTATTTGTTTTTTCCCTGTCTTATTTTGGTTTTCTTTCAGATTATTTTATATTCTGGAGACAAAATTTATGACGACTACTATCAAGATCTGAAAGGACGAGTACATTTTACAAGTAGTGACCTCAAATCTGGTGATGCATCAATAAATGTAACAAATTTACGGTTGTCGGATATTGGCACATATCAGTGCAAAGTGAAAAAAGCTCCTGGTGTTGGAAATAAGAAGATTCAGCTGACAGTTCTTGGTAAATTGTTTGTATTAATGTTACTTGTTACCAGAATAATACAACACGGTTCTGTAGTAGCAGCATTTGAAGTGATCCTAATGTCCTCAAATAACATAAAACCAGCACCATTTTTTGGATTAAAAATGTAAGAGGTGATCACCTTCTTTGTGAAATTCATAAAAGAGTTTAAAGGCAAATGAAAGAGTTTTGTGATATGGAAGAAGAACCCCAAGCCAGGCTTTAGGAAATCCAGGTTTTGTTTTTTGTTTTTTTTTTTTTCCCTTTTTGGTATTTTTCTTAGATTTGCCTTGGCCTCAGCCTGCCTTTTGAAACACAAAAAGATTTAATTATCCTTAAATCTCTATCCTGTTCCATTCAGTTCAGAAGTGGTTGTTATGGGCACTTCAAGCTTTTTTCAAACTATGTAACTTTAATAAATGCGATTTCTATGATGAATACTTGGAGTATTTAGAACAGAGAAGATGGAATATAGTAGAACAAATATTAAAAGGATAAGGCCACTAGACATCAGATAATCATTTATATTTTTTTTATTTTTTATTTTTTTTAAAGATTTTATTTATTTGATAGACAGGGAGAGAGGGAACATAAGCAGAGGGAGTGGGAGAGGCAGAAGCAGGCTTCCCGCTGAGTGGGGAGCCTGTTGCAGGGCTCGGTCCCACTACCCTGGGATCATGACCTGAGCCGAAGGCAGTGGCTTAACCACTGAGTCACCCAGGCGCCCCATCAGATAATTATTTTAACCTCTCTGAACATCACTGTTTTTCATCCTTAAGGTAAAGGGATTAGACAAATGATCACTAGGCTGTCTTGTTTTCTCTATGACAGTTAAGAAGGAGATGAATAAACTGGCAAAGACTGCAATGTTCTATCTTCTCTAGATTCTGTGGTTGTACACAAGCAGTCTTAATTCCTTCAAACTGAGAAACTGAAAGGTTATAAAGTATACTTCTAAAGTCTTAACATGGTAGACTTTACCCAGAAGTACAATGGCTGCCATGTAGAAAAACACAATTGTCTAGCTCTGTTTTATGATAGGAAATTCCCCCGTTTTGTGACTTAAGGTGTTCTGTTTTGGGTTATACTTGGAGACCCATTTTTGGAAGGAAATTTGGGTCTCTGGAACTGCCTGGCATACCTCTAAAAGTAACCAATCAAGGCAGTTCTCCCCCCACATCCACTCTACCTCATTCCTTTTGTTTTAGAGAACTGATTGGTGGTAGGGAGGGTGAAAAAGTTAGAGGTGTTGGATTCCAGACTCCTTTAAAACATGACCGTTTTCTAAAGAATGAGTGTAAGAGCTGGTGGAGACTAGGAGCAAGAATGTGGATTTTTGTGCACTCCAGTGGCAACTTCAGGGGTTGTCTTTGGTAAGACTGCCTTCCACTGACAGCATTGTTGAGTGTGTACACAAGGAAGTCCTGGTAAAAGGCACTTCGTCCTGAATGGCCCTGGTTCATAGTATTTCCTATGGTATGAAAGCCACTGAACCTGAATAGAGAACCAGGAGAGAGAATATGGTAACATTGGGAATTCTAGCTTCTGTGTCTTCATTTAATAAACATGGAGTTACCTTTCTTTCTCATAAATGTGAAAGCAGGTAACATTTTAATAACTTGTCTGAACTCTTATCTCAGGCCCAGGCATACCTGGCATTATAACTCTGTGAATCTTCTTTTATTTATAACAGACTCTCCAGGAAATATTGAATTGAGATAGAGATGGAATTTTAACTGGTCCGTAATGTACCAGACTATACCTATTATCAGAATTATTTGTTGTGGACCTTGCAGTGGGCAGGTACATTGGGAAGAATGCAGTTGGCTCACATTCCCAAAAATGGTGTGAATAAGCACAGTATGTGTGGCCGTGTGTATGCTCCCATGGGACCAGGTTCTGTATTGAATTTGCAGGTCCCGACTGAAGGGATCACTACAGCACAAGGCAGCTCATTTCGCAGAAGGAACCTGAGTCAGTAATAACGGTTGGCACATAATGTGGCTAAGCACACTCATGACAGCAGTCATGACCGCCATGCAGGAGAGATGTCCCATTTTCATTAAGCCTCACAACCCAGCATTTCATACCTCAGGATGGATAAGGGAGAAGCACTGATAGTAACTCGTTTTGTTATGTCTGTGGGGGATCACCATGGCCTCACAAGCTGTGAATCCAAACCAGGAAGGGAGGAGGGGTGAAGTGGAGGGTAAGAGGAGAAAGGGAAGTGATTACTGAGGGCCAGTGGGGATGACTAATACTCTGATTTGGCAAGTTGTGTCAGAGCTGGAGGAGAATTTCCTGTAGTGCTCTCTTCCATGTTCTCCGATGAGTCATGGCTGCTGCTGGGAGACACTCCCAGAATTTTCTCTTGCAAGTGACTGTTGAATGGAAGCTTATCTGTTAGCTCTACCTGAGACATCTGCTTGGATAGTCTAGAGGAAAAACAAAACGAAGTGCCCTCTAGGGACCAGACCCAGTGTTAGTCCAGTGAAACTCAGTTCACTTGGAGGCCTTGCCTAATACCTTCATTCGCTTCTGGGGAATCTGGAGGAGATGCCACCAAGGCGTTCAGAGAGTAATGATGCTTATTCATTGAGCCCCGTGTGCTGTGTGGACATGACCTGGGATGTCTGTTAGCTGCCTGGGTGTGAGGGTGAAGTGTTACTATAGCTTGCCCCATTGCGAGAGCCTGTCCTACTCTTCAGATAGGCCAAAAGTTCATGTGGATGCAACTCAGTAACACAGGGAATTGATTGAGGGTTAATATGTGGCCAAACATCACTAGCACCTTCTGCCCCTTGACCTCTGAAGGGGCATATGATTGAGACCTTTTGATATAAACAGATTATGTTTTCTTGATGAGTAGAACAACAATTAATTGTTTTCCTGGTTGTATACAGCCCAGTCGCATGTGAGGTAGCTCAGTGAACACTGGCCCTGAGGGATTTGTAAGCCATCGGTAAAGAACAAGGCATTTTTTTCCCTATTTTTTATTTTGAAATAGTTTCAAAATAAAATAGAAAAGTTTCTCTAATTGAACATGACTGTTTTCCTCTCTATGAGTGCAAAAAAAGAAAAATATCTTAGGACCCACTTTGAGACTATGCAATATCTTGTTTCTCCTCAAACTTTTGCCCGTGATTTCTGTGCATGACTTCACTTGGAGACAGGGTATTTTGTTGTTCCATAACTTAGCCCATTTATTATAGGCTAGTGGTGTTTTAAATGGTGGAGCTTCTACTGGTCTTTCAGCTCCTTTAGTCACTTTTCTGTGATGGCAGAAGTGCTGTTTATCCAGGCACTCTTGGTTACTATTTTCATGTAGGAGCCACAATGCCAGATCCCCATAGCTCGTCTTCATCTTGGTTTTGCCACAGAAGGAGCATGTGTACTGGGCGTGCTGGCTCCTGTCAATCTTCTGCACCATTTTCCTGAGGGAGGCACCATAACAGGTCCCATATTTGGCAACGATTCCGACCTTCTTGATGCATTTAGCTGTGTTGCTGCAAACTAGTTCTGAGCCCAGAGCACGGTGTTTTCAACCAAGCAAAAATAGCAATTCTGGGTGGATGATGTGATGTCCCTTATTGGAATTTAGAGTGTTTCTCCCACAGACTGATGCAGGCCATTAGTGTGGAGGGGTGATGGTAGGGTACGTGTATGGAATACAGCGTTACTACACTGCTGGAACGCTGCCCGGGTACAAGTTTGGTGGACACGCACCTTTTCTTGAGAAGGACTGTTGGCTGTGCTAATAATGATCGTGAAAGCAAATGTTCTGGGGACAATGGCCAGGTATCCTGGAACCCCAGGCCAAAGAAACATTAGAAAATAAGACTTTTGTATCTGTAAGTCTTCCTTTGTGGTTTTTATCTTTCTTTCAGTATATGCAAGTGCCATGAATTACGAGTTATCTTCCTGTGGTATAATGGTTGGGGTTGGCATGTGAAAGACTTGCACTGTCTCCTCCCAATGGAAAGCAGGCCCCTCCAGAGTGACACCCAGAAGCCAGGGTTGGTAACCTCTTGTTCTGTTATAGGCAGAGTGTGTATCTCAAGCTCAGTGGGGCCTTGAATTTTTTTCAGCAGCCACTTTAAGTTAACTGCCCATTATTGGATGTATTTGGTTTATGGGAAAGGGATATTTTGTTAGAAAAGATGAAGGTTAGGGACTCCTGGGTGGCTCAGTTGGTTTAGCAGCTGCCTTCGGCTCAGGTCATGATCCCAGCGTCCTGGGATCGAGTCCCACATCGGGCTCCTTGTTCTGTGGGGAGCCTGCTTCTCCCTCTGCCTCTGCCTGCCACTCTGTCTGCCTGTGCTCGCTCTCTCTCTCTCTCTCTCTGACAAATAAATAAATAAAATTTAAAAGAAAAAGAAAAGATGAAGGTTAGGGTTAGAACACTGTATTACCAATAGATTTTTTTTTTTTTAAAGATTATTTATTTATTTATTTTTTTGACAGACAGAGACCACAAGTAGGCAGAGAGGCAGGCAGAGAGAGAGGAGGAAGCAGGCTCCCTGCTGGGCAGAGAGCCCGATGCGGGGCTCAATCCCAGGACCCTGAGATCATGACCCGAGCCGAAGGCAGAGGCTTTAACCTACTGAACCACCCAGGCGCCCCACCAATAGATTTTTGATGTATGAAGCAATGCTTTAATATCTCACAATATCTGCTAATTTATGTAGTAAAGGATATATTTGGTAGTTTGAAAAAATGAAGAAAAGAGCTCATTTCTTTGAAGATTCACAGGATGAAATAATTTGCAAAACTGATGTAAAGTTTTTCATTGATGTAGTTCCCCAGGGCAACTGATCAATCTGAAAAAGGAACATATTTGCTTAGGAAAGTAAACAGTGCAATTAAATGCTGTGTCCACCCTTGTTAAAAGGTACAGGCAGTAAGAAGAGTGGAGAAATGAAATCAAATTTAAGTATTATCAAAGAATGTGTAAAGATGTGAGATCATGAATGGCAACCTTTGTTAAAAATGCTCCGCAGTAATTCTTTTGGTCAACTTTGGAAAACAGTTCGAGTGTTTCTTATGGAGTTAAACATGCACTTACTAGATGTGATCCAGGAATTACCAAGAAAAAGGAAAATGTGTGAATATTTACGTAGTGTTGAAGCAGCATTTCTAATGGCACAAAACTGTAGAACCCATTTACATTTTCATAGCAGTGAAACAATAAAAGCCCATCTCCAGGACTGAAAGAATAAAAATTAGCTCCGACTGAAAAAGAAGCAAGCAGACCTGCTATTTACCAGACTGGGAAGACGTGCAGTAAAACCCGCCGTTCATAGGGAGCGCTGTTCCTCCCAAGGTTGTGGAGTGGAGGTAAACTAGAAACTGCTGTTGCTTCCCCATTCTTGCCCCCACTTTACTCATCTTTTCCTGGGGTCCTCTGTTGCTAAATGTCCCTCATCTCCAGCGTAATCCCTGCTTCTCCTAATCTTGCCTTGGAAGTAGCCTCTGATTTAGAACGGGTCCACACCGCTCTTAGCCCGTACTCAGAATCTTTCAGGATTTTTCCTCTAATGGTGAGAGGCTACACATCTTTTCCCGTGGAGTTTAGCTGATTGAGCTTTAACATGAGTCCTAAAACTGGAAACCATGTTTGCTGGTGGATGAATGGGGAAGCAAATCTGTGTTCTAGTCCCTTGATAGAATACAGCTCAGCATTAAAAAAGAGTGATCTAGCGACTGCATGGATCAGCATCAAAAGACAGTGAATAAAAGGAGTAAGACTGAAAAAAAAAAAGTAAATGGGTATTATTCCATTTATATGATTCTAGGAGCAGTAGAACAAATCTAGTGTGTGCTAGAAATTTGATATGTGGCTGCCTGGGACCAGGGTTGTGGCATCAGATCTCAGCATGAGGGAAATTACTTGGGAGAGGTTAAGCCGTGCTTGATGGTGGTACTTACACATTTGTTCAAAATGATCCCCCCAGAAGATGCAGTTGTGTTGGTTTTATTGTATGTACATTGTGTCGTAAATTCAGCAGAAGAGTATGAAATGCCAAGGTGTTATTCCAGTGTTTGGAATGAGTTACAAGGAAGGGGTTTAGCAGCGGCTCTAAACAGTTTCCCAGAGAGACCTGGAGTATACCGTCAGGTTGACCTTTTTATAACAATGCTCTCTGGATGGTTTGGGGTTAATGTAAATGCAGAGTGTTAATTGGTCCTGTTATCAGCATTATTTGTTATAAATCCCCCAAATGGTAAGATAACAGCACTCAGAGGGATATGACATGCCACAGACTCCCAGAGTGCTACCTTCATGTCAGGCACTGAGTAGAAGAACAGGTAAGGATTGGAGGGAAGTGGAAGCCGCCTGTACCACCTTCTTTTTTCGGATGCGCCCCTTGGAATGAAGGAGCCCAGAGCCCCTGCCTGAGAGGCCTGAGCTCATTCGTGCCTGCTTCATGTTGCGTAGTTGGGTAAACTGGTGCTGATGACTTCTTACTGTCTTTTGGTCTTGTCACCTCGGAACTCAGGACCACATGATAATGAGCCAGTGGTTGTGCAATGTACTGTGTGTTTAATCCTTGCAAACATAAGTTCTGTTGTCTTGTGTAAAGTTACCATTTACTCTTTTCTCAGTTAAGCCGTCAGGTATAAGATGTTACGTTGATGGATCAGAAGAAATTGGAAATGACTTCAAACTAAAATGTGAACCTAAGGAAGGTTCGCTTCCGTTACAGTATGAATGGCAGAAGTTGTCCAACTCACAGAAACTGCCCACTTTATGGTTACCAGGTACTGGTGATATTACAGATTGTACTATATGCTATCAGTTTGGACTTCATCTAGCAGTGGTGCGTGTGTGTGTGTGTGTGTGTGTGTGTGTGTGTGTGTGTGTATTTTGAAATTCCCAGATACCTCTCCTTTTCTGTACAAAACAATCAGGATTCCATGAGAATTATTCAGTGTTTTACAATGACAACTTAGTGTCTAAATCGTGTTAATGATAATATTTTTATAATCTCACTGCTTAGGATATTATAGTTTCTTTGTTGTATATTTTTTTTTGTTTTTTTTTTGTTGTTGTATATTTTTTAATTGATAGTAATACTGGTGGAAAATACAATCAATGTAGACAATGGCTTACTTATAATAAGAGTAGGATCTTGAATGCTTTGCCTAGATTTATGATGAAGTAGGATTTCTCTCCACCTCTTCGTTTTCTCAAACGAAGAGGCCAAAACTATATGACCCCTTCTGACTCTGAAACATCTTTCTTCTATCTGCAGGGATAAAATAGGTTTTGAAATCCTTTGCACCAAAGAGCCTTTGTGGGGTGGAATTTTTGGTTTTGTTTTTTAAAGTAATCTCTAGGCCCAGTGTGGGGCTAAACTCCTCACCACCCTGAGATCAGGAGTTGCATGTTCTACCAGTTGGGTCAGCCAGGCGCCCCACTGCTTTTTAGAATCAGTGTGCCTCTGCTTCAGCTGAGGCTGTATGTGGCTAAGGCAGTCGTGGATTCTCTGGCTTGTGATACAAACGAACTAGAGGGCAGTAACAGCTGGTCCTTGAACAACACAGGTTTGAACCATGGAGGTCCATTTATACGTGGATTTTTTTACAGAGCGTACTGTAAATGTATTTTCCTTACCATTTTCTTAGTAGCATTTTCTTCCCAGCTTACTCATTGTAAGAATGCAGTATATAACACAGATACAATGTAAAACATGCCCCTCGGCTGTTTATGCTATTGTAAGATTTCCAGTCAAGAGTAGGCTCATTATAGTTACATTCCAGGGACACATGGGTGGCTCTGCTGATTGAGCGTCGGACTCTTGATTTCCACTCAGGTGCTTATCTCAGAGTCGCGAGATGGAGCCTGTGTCACGCTCCGGGCTCAGTGCAGAGTCAGTTTGAGATTCTCTCTCCCCCTCTCCGCCCCCTGCTCGTGTGTGCACTATCTTGCTCGAAATAAATAATAAAATCCTTTTAAAAATTACAGTTACATTTTGGGGGAGTCAAAAGTTATACCCTGATCGTTAACTGTGCAGGAAATCAGAATCCTTACACGCCTGCCCACGCCCCCCTCCCCTGCCATTGTTTGAGAGTCAGCCGTGTCTGCGTTCTGGAGGCGTTCACATGTTTCCATAGACATTTGTTCATACCCAGCTTCCGTTCGTCTCACTTTTACCTGGATTGTCAAGCTTAATATGGTTTGCCTTTACTAAAAACTTAGCAATACAACATTGTAAAGATGGGTTATGCCGTATACTTCCTTTTTTCCCCATAGACATGAAGTCACCTGTTATATCTGTAAAAAATGCCTCTACTGAGTACTCTGGGACGTACAGTTGTACAGTCACAAACAGAGTAGGCTCCGATCAGTGCCAGCTACGCCTGAATGTTGTTCCACGTAAGTACTTTCTTTCTGTCTGTTGTGATGACGTCTGTTTGCATTGTCTTCATATAGCTTCCTTTGGTTCAGTCAGCAAGTGTGTATTGAGGGCAATGGGATGTTAACTTGGCAAAGCACTCTGTGACTTGGTTATTTGCTATTCTAAGTCATGGGAAGGGGAAAAAATATATAGCCTTTATTATTGAAATGACATTAAGAAGGTAAGAGTTGTCAAATTGACTGTTGTATTTAGACATTAGAAGTATAAGCTATTTAGAACATTCTTCTATGCCAACCAAGATAGCTATGATATTAAAATCTTTTAGTCTAGTTACATGATTTTTATGCTTGAAATAGATTATATAGTCCAGAAGAAAGTTATTCCAGTGGGTCTTTCCACTGGACCAAAAACTAATAAATGTGTTCCTTAAAGTTAGTATATGCAATATGTGCAATGAAATCAGTCCATTGCTATGTACCCTTAACCTTCAATATGACTAGATACGGATACAGATTTTTTTTTTTACTATTAATTATTTTCTTATTAACATCTTATTCTAGCTTCAAATAGAGCTGGAACAATTGCAGGAGCTGTTGTAGGAATTTTGCTTGCTCTAGTGCTCATTGGTCTTATCGTCTTTTGCTGTCGTAAAAAGCGCAGAGAAGAAAAATATGAAAAGGAGGTTCATCATGATATCAGGTAATTGACATAAGAGTTGACTGATAGAAATTAAATTTTTTATGTCTCTAAAGCATTAATTCTCTTAACCATCTGAAGCATTTACCCCGCTAGAACTGGATAAAAGCTCTTTCCCTCAATACATTTGAAAGCGTTTACTTTCAGTTTCAAGTGCGCGGAACCGACCAACCTCTGTTGTGCCCTGCCTCCGGCCCTTATTTTGAATCCTATTTTAAGAGCTACTGCAAATGCTTATCTTAAGACTGTCTGCCTTCTCCCAATAAAGTGCAGGCATGAAGTTTTTCAAAAAATGAGCAGATGTTGAGGTTTAGAAAGAAAGACCTGATAGTATCAAGTCACATTGGTAATTTATAGAACTGTTAGTAACTGTGATTTTATTTTTTAATATTCTAAACTAGTAGATCTTAACTAGAAGTGTGCATTGCGTTTTAGAACTTTAAAAGAATAACATACGACTTAAATAACATCCAGCAGGTAAATTGACATTTGCTAGGTCTGGCTTGGGGTCTGAACACTTGTCTTTTTAAACTACACCAGAGGTAACTCTGGTGCATATTCTTTGTCATTGCTTGGTATGAAAATTCTTATGCGTAGATTCTGAGTTTTTGTAAATTTTGAATCTGCTAAGTTTTCAGCTAAGGTCTTAGAGAAGTAATTTCCATAACAAAAAAAAATTTTTTTGTGGGGGGGAGAAATATTTCTATAGATGTTAATGCCTTACCAATTACAATGTGTTGGCGTGTTGGCCAACTATAACTATTGATTGTCTTATCAGTGATAGTAGAGTATGAAGAAATTCAAGTTTGTTCCTTATAAGACAGCATTATAGAATCAAATTTTTGTAAAACTTACATTTTATTATGTATGAAGGAATACACTCTGTAAATGATAGATTTGGGACGAATACACAGTTCATAACATTGTACCTTATTGCAGTTGCCTTTTTGTGTGTTATGCACTCTTTTATATACACGATACTTAGAGGCTCTTTCTTCACCCATATCCATTTTTCATAGCTTATGTAATTGTGGGTTTTTAGAAACTTGTTCTTTGAACTTGTGTTGGGATCTTTGCTTTCTAGGGAAGACGTGCCTCCTCCAAAGAGCCGTGCGTCCACCGCCCGGAGCTACATCGGCAGCAATCATTCGTCCCTGGGCTCCATGTCTCCTTCCAACATGGAAGGGTATGCCAAGACTCAGTATAACCAGGTACCAAGTGAAGACTTCGAACGTACTCCTCAGAGCCCTACTCTCCCACCTGCTAAGGTAGCTGCCCCTAATCTAAGTAGGATGGGAGCAGTGCCTGTGATGATTCCAGCACAGAGCAAGGACGGGTCCATAGTGTAGAGCCTCTGCACTTCCATCTGTGCTTTCCAGGTTTCTTTTCTCCTCTTCGGGTAGGAAGACTGTTCCGTTCTAAATTCTGCTACCGGCCTCAACATATATCAAGAACTTAACCAGAACCTGAAAATTATGCTTTAAAAAGTTTTGTTTGGTTACTGAAATAGTAAAGTTGAACTGAAGTCACTAAACACAGATTGACCAACTGAAAAATATTTCCTTTAAGAGATTGATTTGATAGATTTCTAAATATCAACACTTAAAAGATATAGCACTTTGAATATGAAATCCTAGGTGAAGAAATTGGTGAACTTATATGCACCCTAAGTTGATACTTGAATCATGTGCAAGTGGTACTTCCTATTTTCTACCATTTATTTTTAGGTTGCCTTTCTCAATTAATTTGTGATCTGGAATCCCCTCCAAATTGGTAAAGAAACATCCATGGCAAAAATACTTACGACACATCTATGTTTGTTCTTTTTGAAACTTCTTTGGAAGCTCATTTAAATATGAGTTTGAAACAGCTCTAATAACATAGAAAACACTACAGTGTTCTAGAAATTACTAGTTTTACTTCCGAATCATTTATAGACCTTGTCTATGAAATGATTTCTAACTATTTAATTGATAGACTGCTATAGGCAACAAGGACATAGTAAGCTCCTTTACATTCTAAAATAAAGGAGCATCTCTCTGATTCATTTAGATGCTAGTTAGCGGTGCGGTAGTGAATATGGGTTTTGTTGATGAGTGATCTGATGCCTTGAGGCCTGTGGCCGTCTTCAGAGCAATGACCAGTCAGAACAAGGATGGAACATTTTGCAGTTCCCAACTAACTACTAGCCCTTGAGCTGATATTTTTCTAATAAGAAAAATTATGACTCATTATTTGACAATTACAGTTTGAAATTCCCCAGTCATTGGTTCCAAATTTAAAAACATTTTTTCAGTGTTTTAGGGGGGGTGGATTATGTTGGTGTTGCACAATATATGTTTTAGAAACATGTAATCCTACATTTACCACTTGAATGTGGTTCCTGGAGGTTATTTTCTTCATAGACTCAGAATGATGAAATACATTTTCAGCTAGGAGGTGTCCTCCATCGATTCTGTATTTCAGACTTAGGAGGATGTATAGCTCTTTTATGGCCAACATGTCCTTGTATAGTTGCAGAAAATCAAGGTGAGCTTTGAAAAGAGTGAGTCTTAGTTTTGTGAAAGTGATTTATTCTTTAAAAAAAAAAAAAGGAGAGAGAGAAATAAAAGGAAAAGGAGTAAAAGGTATACTCCTAACTGCCAAACGTGTTAAATACTATTGTAGTAGAAGAAAGTGAGTTTATTGTATTTCCCTTAAGATTGTGAGGGAGTGTGGATTTAGTAAAATGAGCCAACAGTTTCTTTATAGTAAATAAGGTTTGCAATAAATTATTTCACTAGCTCTAAAACCTTTTCCCTAGATTTTGATAGGGAGTCGGTTTCTGTTGATCTCTTCGGGTGCTGTGGTGGTAAATGCTACATTATAAATTAATATTCGTATGAATTTAAGATTAGGCAGAGTATTGTGTATACTTTTTAATGCTGAACTTAAGCTGAATGTCTGTGTAATGGATTAGTGTATAGTTTTATATATTTGGAAGCATTTTTTAGTAGGTTTTTAACCCTATATATTATTGCTTTTATACTTGCGTTAACATTTTCATCTGTGCCTTTGGGTAATTTTAATTTTTATTATGAATTTCTGGTGCCTATGAGCTAGCTATCACCTGAAAGGTGCTTAGAGGTGAAGGTACTGTTAAAAACACATCACTGTGACACCTTTCTCTTTTCATACTTTGAATCTTGCCTCCTCTTCCCTCTTCTTTTTGGGTGCAACTTAACCGATTGTGTTATTCATAAAGATTCTCAAATTTCAACATCCCCAGCACTCTTTGACTGTGTATGATTTTGTAAAAGTAGCTATTTTTGAATGCCAGATGTTTGGCCTGTTTTATATAATAAATTTATAAGATAGTGTAAGAATAAATAACAGATCACAGACTTGGATAATAAAAGCATTTGATCCTTCCCATCCCCAGTTTTCGTACAGTGACGATTACTCTGTCAATCTAAGTAGGAACTACGGTAAAAGGTGGACGTGTCCGCCTCTCTAAGATGTGGCTCTGAGTAATCAGACTCTCCCAGAAGCGCTTTCAGGTCCACACCGCTTACAGCCTGAGAACAGAGCTTGTAAAACGTCACTTGTGTGACCTGAGAAGACCGGCTGGGTAGGATTAAGTTTTGAGGACAGAGTTCAGTTTTAGACTTAACTTCTCCAGCTGTTCTCATTATAAATTTCAGTTGATCCAAAAGTCAGATCGGTCAGGTACTGATAACTTCCCAAATAATTCTCAGCAATCGTTCAGTTGAGCTGGAAGTATTTCTTCTAGAATAACTTAGTAATCATCAAGCAATTCAACCAAACCTGGCTATTCAAAGCATTACCATGAGAAAGCCAATCCAGGCTGCTCCAGAACGGCCCCGCATCTTTGAGGAGAATCCATTTGATTCTGTTTGACACCTGAGACTTGACACTGTCTTTTTGAGTTACACAGGATCATTTGGAAAGAAATGGTACTGGCAAGGATGAGTTCTGTGCTTAGAATATGTAGTTCACTGGTGTTCTTTCTCTTATTGGCAGTCTTACCAGTATTCCCCTCTTTGAGAACCCCCCAAATTTCTTATCAATTTTACTGATGACCAGTTTATTCAGACAAATAACTTTCTTTAAATTTGGGCTATCTGCCATGGAGTGGTTACTTTGGAAACACAGTCTGAGTGTGTCTTGGGAGGGTTTAGTTGAAGAAATGCAGTTAGATTATGGATATGAAGAAATACCTGATTTTGTTAAAATGCTAATTTTTAAGATTGAGTTCTGGAAATTTGGAGCAAGTGAAGGGGCAAGTAAGCATTTTGATTAAATATAGAAAGAACTCATTGCATGAAGTTGGATATTCAATTCTGTAACGTATGGCTTCTTAAAATAACTACTCTGTCTTTCTGTGTGCGTGGGGCATGTAAATTTGAAGTTCTATGAATGTTTAAGGTTTTTTCCTAATCTGTTCATCTCCACAGTGTTTAGGGCTGTCAGATGCCTTATTCCAGTGTGAACAGAAAAAACAAACATTTTATGTAGTTAATGCTTTGATGTGTCACATAAGGAGTAGTTTGTAGAAAATGTTGGCACAACTTTAACTTTTTAGTGGCTTGTGACATTATATATATGTATATATAGCTTCATAAAATTCTTGTGTTTGGTAGTATAAATGTTCTGGGCAAGTTTTAATATATCAAATGCCTTTAGATAGTCTTGCGATAGGGGCAACACATTCTGCAGGTAGAGTTTTTACTCATTTGCCTATTTTGACACCAAAAAAGGTCCATAACTGAGCACAAATTCTACAATGTTACAGAAGTAAGGAAAGATAATGAATAAACTTGTAAATTGTGGTTCTGTTTGTCTTATATAGGGTGACATCACTAAACAATTTCTTCATCTAATCTCTTACTATTATTTAAAATCAAGCTTTTATAAAAATACCCTATTTTTTAATTTTAAAAGTATGATGAATATCAGTTGGATTTGGTTGTGAACACTAAAAGCTCCAATCAAGGAAGAACTCTGGGTTTTCTGCTAACTTAATGCCGTAAGTGTTAAGAGAACCACAATTTATTCACTTATTCTCATTCCTAACTGTGAACTTTTGTGATAAATACACTTGTACTATTAAGAAAAAATATTTTGACACTTGACATATGCAAGTAGAGAATTGATAAGTGTCAGTTTCAAAAATGATTTTGTATTTAAAGTTTCTGGCTTACGTATCCAATGGTGCACATTCTGAAATTTGTAAGAACAAAATTTGTTTTAAAAAAATGAAAAACTTGCTCTAGTTTTGTGACCTTGTGTACTTTTGAAATAAAATCAAGAAAGCAGTTTTCTGCCTCATGGTGTGGCTTTATTGTGCCTTTTTTAAAATGTTTACTTTATAAAACTTTAGTATGCTATTCCTCAGGGTTTCCTTTTTTCTCCCCTTCTTGCATCCTTTTAAACAGAATAAAGATCAAACTGTCACACATCAATGAAAACATGCCAGACATTCTTATATTTCCCCACTCCTGTGCATTTATGTGACACCAAATAACATAGTATTTGGGGTTGAAGCCTCCACAAAGTTGTGTGATCTGTTTACAATTTATAGCGTTAACTCAAATTTGAGTTCTTTTTTTTTTTTTTTAAAGATTTTATTTATTTATTTGACAGACAGAGATCACAAGTTGGCAGAGAGGCAGGCAGAGAGAGAGGAGGAAGCAGGCTCCCCGCTGAGCAGAGAGCCCGATGTGGGGCTCGATCCCAGGACCCTGAGATCATGACCTGAGCCGAAGGCAGAGGATTTAACCCACTGAGCCACCCAGGCGCCCCTCAAATTTGAGTTCTTAAAGAGTAGCCTTGAATGCATAAATATCTAGTTGTGGTTTCAAGTTTTCTTGCTGATTCTAAACAATGATCTCAGAAAAGAAAACGATGAGGTCCTAATACTTTTGTAAGAAGACATTTTTAGGGATGTTTTGTTACGATAGAGTTTTTCAGGGTTAGCACCTTTAGAGCCTTTGGGCTAGATAGTCCTTTATTGTGAGGGACTGTCCTTTGCCCTGTAGCATGTTGAGCAGCAGGCCTGGCCTCTTTCTTCCTCCCCGAGATGCGACAATCAAAGTGTCTCCAAATATTGCCACGTGTCCATCGGGGTGGAGGGCAAAATTACTCCAGTTGAGAACCCCTGGTTTATACTGAGGTGAAATTTTCACCCCAGAGATGAGGATAGGCCTTGCCATCAGACTTGTCTAAATTCTGCTTATGACTAAGTGCTTTCCTTAGCTTCACTTTCCTGGTGTTCAAAATGGGGATAAAAATACTATATCCTGGGGGATGCTGGATGGTTCTAAGAGTGAAACTACCGAGTAAAATTCAATGCCTTTAATTTAGAACATATTTTAACCCTGTAGCTCTAAAGGCCAGATCATATTTCTGGTTAAATAAGTTCCAGATGGCAAAACTGATGAAATAGAGATAAGATTGAATATAAAATAATTTGTTTTTAGTTAAAAATGGTCTAGCTTTAAGCCTAAGGTGTAATCAAATGTAATTTCTAAATGTAATAAAGGCAGCAGTGAAAGGATCATGAAGCCAGTCCTAGGAACTCAGATCAGTTTTTCATTCATGCTGGTGTTTCTGAAATCGAAATCAAGTGTGATGTGTTGTTTTGTTACTTAAGTGATTTTTCTAAATTTGATAACTATTTATAGAAAAAGTTGTTGCAGGAAAAAAAAAAAAAAAACTCTAGAGTGATTGAAGAACCAAGAAATAAATTTCAGGAAAAGGTCCTTGATGCATCAGTTTGCTTCTTGTTTTACTAGTGAGCTGTGAAAATTCTAACTAATGGAGAATGAGAAAGGGGGGAGAAGATGCAGGAAATTAGAAGTAAAAACCAATCCTCTTGACCTGATGTGAAAGATCTTTCCAGGTCCATTCCATGTCTCTGTGTTTTATTTTCTCCATGCCTTCAGGTGTGCCTTTATGCCGTACCCGTGCTCGATAGCTAAGGGGCCACAGTTCCATACCTTTGTCAGTGTGTAATTTGTTAAGCCAGAGAACAGCCCCACCCTGCTTACCTGCCCTGCGAGTGTAAGTTCAGTCGTTTTTCCTGATTTCCACCCCTGCCCCTCACTTATAAATTAGGGGTGCATCTGAGTCCTCAACATCCCCAGTAAAGTCTTTTAGGGCCCAAATCCTTTGCATTCCAGTTGTTTAACCTGCTTAATACGCCCGTTTACAAGTTTGAAGTGGATTTACTCCCCTCTATCCTCAGTGCCTAACTCTCACTTGCATATTGCTCAATAAATGTTGAGTGAAGTTTTAAAAAGGAAACTGAGCCCTTGAGGCAGGTCCATTGATTTCATATGTCTCCTACGTTCCACAAGACGGCTGCCCTGGTCGCTTCCAAAAAGACCATGTCTGGAGAGAAAGGTGGAGTGAGTATGTGTGGGGAGAGGAATGTACACGCGGCTCAAAAAGTTAACTTGCACGGGGGTGCCTGAGTGGCTCTGTTGGTTACGCGTCAGACTCTTGGTTTCAGCTCAGGTCATGATCTCACAGCTGTCGTGGGATCGAGCCCCATGCCAGGCTCTATGCTC